CATACCATGAACTCAGGGTCATCTTTGGTTACCTTTCTCCTCATTTCCAATATCTAGGCCATTATCAAGTCCCAGAACTTGCCTCCAAATATATTTCATTGCTGTTTCCAATGTTACTTATGAGTGATATGTTATACTACTTTTTGCCAAGACAACTTCAATGGTTTTCTGACTGAATTTTTTAAGGTTTGTTTTTATTTCGAAGGCAGGGTTTATTTTTATTTGAGAGAGAGAGAGAGAGAGAGAGAGAGAGAGAGAGAGCCCTGTCATCTACTGAAGGCTCCCCAAATAATCACAACAGCTGGACGAACTGAAGCCAGGAACCAGGAGCTTCTTCCTGGTCTCCCATGTAAGTATAGGGGTCAAGGACTTGGGCCATCTTTTTGCTTCCTCCCCAGGCCATTAGCATGGAGCTGGATTGGAAGTGGAACAACCCGTACTTGAATTCACTGTCCATATGGGATGCTGCCATAGGCTGAAACTTGCTGTATTAACAGCTGACTATTTCTATTCCCCATATAGCTGCTTAAAAAAAAACAACAAAACACACAAACCAGATCACATCCCCATTTCCTTAAAACTCTTCAAAGTCTTCCAATTGCATTCAGATGCTACTGAAAATCCTAAATAAAGCCTATGAGGCTGTGGATGATCTGACTGCTGTCTGCCATCCATCACCTAGGATTATCATGACTGCTGGGTTCCCTCACTGTCCTTTAGTCACATGACCTCTTTTGCGCCTTTGAATGTGCCGTAGCTTTAACAGGCTGGCTCCTGGTGTGGATTAATGTGTTCCTACCACCTCCTTAACGGTTAATTCCCACTGATTCTTCTGATCACTGCGCTTTTGTAGTGAAGCTTTCTTGAACCCAATCCTCAATCTGTATCAGACCTTACCAATTATAAGTATTGCACACATGCTGCATGAGTCTTATGACAATTCACTTTTTGAACTAGATACATATTTAGTAAATTCTTTTTGGTATGTCAGTCTTGCTCCAGAGACTAAAAGCCTGGTGGGGGGTATGCACTGTTTGCTGTATGTGTGTGTGTGTGTGTGTGTGCGTGTGTGTGTGTGTACCAGCATCACTAGCTCCTAACACAGTGCCTGCCCACATGTAAGGTTAACAAACACTTGTGGAACAACAATTAACCAGTGAAACCTGGAAATGTAGCAGCATCTGCTTTTGTGACCACTTCCCTTGGATTCTGTCTTACAGTTAAATGCTATGATGTAAGCGCTCCTCTTCCCGTCACATCTTTCCAATATTGATGGAATGTAATCTTCATCTCTTCTCCCCTCTCATCCCTCTCTTTAACCAGTCCTTTCTACTCTCTTTTCCCTTTCTTTTCTTCTAAAGTTTTAACTTACTTTTCTCAAGATTTATTTTATTTTAAGGGCATGGTGACAGAGAAAAGGGCAGATTGTTCTTTCATCCAATGATTCACCCCCAAGGTGATTCAGGTTGAATTCAGGAGCCTGGAACTCCAGTTCCCCTCCCATGTCAGTGGCAAGGGGCCCAGGTACTAGCACCATCCTTGACTGCTTTCCTAGATGTATTAGCAGGAAGCCGAATTGAAAGCACAGCAGCCAATATTCCAACTGGCTACCCAAATGGGTTGCTGGTGTTGTGGCAGTGGCTTAATGGTCTGGTCTGCTCTTTTCTTGGTCCTCATGGTTACTATAACTTTTAGCAGTCATGAAGACAGTTCATAAAAACTATTTCAATAATTATTTTAAAAATACTTGCTTATTTTTATTTGAAAGGCAAAGTTACAGAGAGAGGACAGTCAGATATCTCCTATCTATTGATTTATTTACCACATGGCTACTCAGGAGTTAGGAGCTTCCTCCAGGTCTCCTGTGTGGAAGCAGGAGCCCAAGGACTTGGACCATCTTCTGTTACTTTCCCAGACACATTAATAGGCAATTGGATTGGAAGTGGAGCAGCTAGGACACGAACCACTGCCCATATGGGATGCTGGTACTGTAGGCTGAAGTTTAACTTACTATGCACAGTGCTGTGCTGGCCTCTCATTAAATCTTATCTAACCTGCAATTGCAATTCACCTTCTTCACTTCTTAAATATTAAGAAAGATTTTGCATATTAAGAAAGAAAAGTTGCATGTGCTAAAGTTGCATAGCTATTAGAAGTGAACCTTCTTGCAGGTCTCCTGGTGCAGGGTCAAGAGAGATCATTCCAAGCAAGTCTAAATGTACTAAAAAATCTTTATTAACTAAGGCCACTAGAAATTAGCAAATAAAAAGTGACTATGCAATCCAATCAGAATCGAAATCCTGAAAGGAAGAAATGGAAATTACTGTGAAATCCGTCTGTGAGACTGAAGACTTATGTCCCAGCTTTCCCAGCAATATAAATTATCCTAAGAGTCACAGTGAACAATCTGGACACATTTACAAAACGGCATTCACCTCTTCCTGGCTTCTCTATTTGCTAGGCCTCACATCTCCTGGAGCTCTTGAAAATATATATATTAGAAAAACAAAACATCTTAGTATTTGCATCTTCACTGACTTGCCCAAGCAGTGAACAGAGGGTAAGGAATACAGACACAAAGGGGCCATGTTCAGGAGCTACATCTGTCCTTGGAGTCCGTCCATGGAAAGCAAGACAGTAAGCAGGTACTCAGGAGGCCTGGACCCAGTGTGAGAATGACAGATGGAAGCAAGCAACCTCCCCATCATGGGCCATTATGGGGCCTTGAGAGGGGAGTGGTTATGCAACAATGCAGTATCTCTTCCCCTCAGGTTCCAGCTGAGTCATTGCACTTACAGGTGGGCAGAAACGATGACATAGGTGGGGGAGATGTGGCTTCCAAGCTCCTGACCCTGAACTAGCTAAGACTATTATTACACTCCTATGTGAGTGGCAGGGCCCAATCACTTGGGCCATTCTGGATTGCTTTTTCTATGCCATTAATAGGAAGGTGGATTGGAAGTAGAGCAGCTGGAACACAAACCAGCACTCATATGGGATGCTATCATTGCAAATAACAGCTTTGTTTGCTACTTCACAAAGCTGGCTCCTTTCACTCCCCCCTCTTTTTTTTTTTATTATGAATTAATAGTTGATCGCATGGATACACACATCTTCCTTTTTTTGCGATACATTTAAAATATTTCATTTGTTTCAAAGGCAGATATACATATATACATATGTAACATATATATATATGTTACACAGAGAAAGAGAGAGAGAAAGAGAGAGAGAAAGGAGACAAAGAGAGTTCTTTACCAGTTCACTCTCTAAATGGCCAAGGCTGGGTCAGGCCAAAGCCAGGAGCTGGGAGCTTCACCGAGTGTAGGTGCCCAAGCACTTGGTTCATCTTCCAGTGCTTTCTCAGGTCATAAGCAGGAAATGCGATTGGAAGTAGAGCAGCGGGGACATCAGCAGGCTTTCCATATGGAATGCCAGCCCAGCTTTGACAGGCCACAATGCCGGCCCTACCTACATATACTTTATTCACTCAACAGTTATTGGATACTGGGTGGACTCCTCTCTGACTGTGAATAATGCTGTCGTGTACACGCGTGTGCCAGGATTGATGAGGATGTATGTTTCCCTTTCTTTGGCATATATCCCCAAGCCAGTCTATGAGAAAGTTTGGGTTTTTGTCCACCCCGAGGGCAGAGTTGGTCCTCTGTTGACATTGTGTTTGGAGTGTCTCTCCTGCCCTTTATTTGCCTCCTTTATTTTCTTAGTGAACTCCAATCCCCTACTGATTTTCGTAGGAAATGAAGCTTTCAATTTACCGGTTGTTTGTAAGCGTCACTGGAGGACAGACGTGAAAGCAGTCCTGTTTATCTGTAGGTTAGGTCCCTACTGTGCTGTTTTGTAATAAAAGCATTGATTGAGTAGGAAGCTTATTTAAGTTCTTCTGGAGTGTTGCACTCCTACACCACGCTGTCCAAACAGACTCTTAATTACCCATCTCGAGGCTGAACGTTTCAAAGAACCACTTTGAAGTTTCTCAGTAACGTTACTATCATTACTACACAAATATTAAAAAAAAAAAAAAAGCATGCCCTTCGGGGTATGTGTACGTTTGTGCGCGTGCTAGGCTGCATTCATTGCTCAAGAAATCGTTATTATGAAAAGTTACTGTAATGAGTGGTTTTACCGTCAGGTTTACGTTGCACTCATTTAAAGTTCCCTCACGTTTTTCGGAGACACTAAGCATGCGGGGCTCTTCAGCCATCGATTCTCATTGGCTGCACCAGTTGAAAAACCACACACAAGCTCGCATTGCTTTTCAGGTGGTTCTTTTTTTTTCTACCTACTTAGGTAACCTCAATCTGCTCAACACAGCAGAAACGATTTTTCTGTGGCTCAGCGTGGCACGGACGCGCAGGCCCACCTGGTATACACTCGCGCCCTGGCCAAGCGTGCAGGTTTAACACGCGTTTCACTTCACTCGGGGAACACACACGAGGAAAATGAATACCACACGTGTGAACGGATGCAAGGCAGCGAGTCGGTCCCTGGATAAACAGGACAAATGAGGCCAACGTGGCCTCGGGCGAAGCCAAGCCACCTCCGACTTGTACCACTGCCGCCGCGGGGACTAGGGGCTGAGGGCAAGACGCGACTTCCCGGGCCCCGCGTGGGGTTCTCGCGCCTCCGGGAGCGGACGGTGAGTCACTTCGCAGCCTGAGGGCCGCGCGCCGGGGGCTCCAGGAGAGCCGTGGGCCGAAATCCTACACCGAGGAAGCCTCGGAAGGAAGAGGAGGGGCGAGTGCTGGGGGTGGGGGGGGGAAGGAAGAAGAGACGCCCGGGCACGAGAAGGGAGGAAAGAGGGAAGGAGGAGGAAGGAGCGCGGGGCGGGCCCGGGAGGCGCCCGGGGCGTGCCTGTGGCGCGGAGGCCGGTCAGGGCGGGGCGGCGCGGCGCACGCCGAAGGTTCGGCGGGGGCTGCCGGGATTGGGGCGCCTCGCTGGTGGCTGGCCGGGGCGGCAGCAGCTCCTCGGTGTGGCCGGGCTCGGCTCGGCGGGGCATGTTGGCGCCGCGGGCACCGCGCGTCCGGGATTGCTAGCTCCTGCTGGGCTTCCTGCCCCGCGCCCGCGCGGCCCCAGCACCTGGCCGCCGCCTCCACCTCCCACCCGGAGCCCGGGCTCCGGCTGAAGCGCACAGGCAGCGGGGCGGTGTGTGCCGCGCGCGGACCTCTGCCGTCATGGGGCTGCAGCCCCTGGAGTTCAGCGACTGCTACCTCGACAGCCCGTGGTTCCGGGAGAGGATTCGCGCCCACGAAGCCGAGCTCGAGAGGACCAACAAGTTCATCAAAGAGCTCATCAAGGACGGCAAGAACCTCATCGCCGCCACCAAAAGTAAGCGGGGAGACGTGAGCGGGCACGGGGCTGCGGCGTGGCGAGGCAGGGAGCAGCCAGCCTCTCTAGGCGGAGACAGAAGCTCCAGAGAGCCGGATCCAACCAGTCCGGGTCCCTCGGAACCCGGGAGGGTCTCGGGTGATTGCTCCTACCGCAGTCGGGGGACGTGAGCCAGGGGCCATCCGTGGGAGCGCGCTGTCCACGACCCCGCCGGGCCCGACCAGGCAGCCTCCGGTGCTGCGCCCTCGGTTGCAGGGACCTGAGGCTCGCACGGCCCTGGGACAGGATTGTTATTATCGTTGGTATTTTTATTATTTGTACTTTGAAGCTGCTCACGGTGTCCCGCCACAGAGTGCTGTCTCTTGACCGCTCACCAGAATCTTGGCTTTTTAGGAGTTCAAAAAGCCGCACCTTTGCCCTAGCCTCCCTGCCGCCACTTCCCCACCACCACCTCGCGACGGTCTTACCCCAGATCTCTCACTGTGCCAAACCAGAAAGTCCACCTGTTTTGTGCTGCTTTCTGCACATTCCTTTCCTTTCTCCGTGCTGACGAGGGGTCAAAGATTGGGCTTCGAAAGGGCTGGCGGACGGCCCTCCCTGCGGCCGGAGTGGAGCCAGCACTGTTTGCAAATAGGGAATTCCACCCTGGTCATGCTTGGCGCGCCTGCCCTGATCTGTTGAGAAACTCAGAGAATTAAGTGTGGTGGGGCCATCCCAGGGAGAGAGGCCAGCTGATGTACACCGGTGCGTATGGAGTTGGGAATGGGCAGAGGTTAGCTCTGGGGAGGAATTGGGGAGGCCGACCCCTCCTGGGACCCACAACCCCGGCACAGCGCACAAGCTGCTTGTACTGCCAGGGCTTTGAACACTTATCTTGAAGAGTTGCCAGTGTGGAGAGTTTAATTACCCTTGGGAAAAATAACCTGTGTAAGACCCTCCGTCCTTCTCTGATTTTGCATTAAGGAAGATTAAAGCAAACTCACCTGGTACCCTGGCTTGCACCTGGCAGGGAGCCTGGCCCAGGTAACTCTCATTTAATGATTGAGTTGAAATGCTTTTTAATGAGAACAATGTAATAGGCTATCCCTGTAATTTTGGAGGCAACTCAGTCACTCCTCCGGGTGATCTCCCAAGGTATCTGCCTTGTGGTGCAGTAACTTCTTTAATGTTGTAAAATCAGAGCTGGGAATTGGTTAGCATGGGTTATGCACTAGGGTTTATTTGGTGAATGCCTCTCCAGGCCTGTGGCATAGGGTACATGGCTCCTGTGGGAAGTCAGGAGCAGCAGTAAGTACCTGGAGAAAGGTGAACAGAGGGAGGAGGAAGAGCAGAGAAGTCAGGTAGGTGTGTGGGGGGAGGGGAGAAGGCTCTTCCTGTCCATGACTGTGAGCCGGTGACCAGGCTGGGGGAGACCGCTTCCCAGTGGCAGCAGCCGAGGACAGGAGCGGCAGATGGCAGTGGCAGTTTGGCCCCTGGCATAAAGCTATTTATGCGACTGCATACCAGCTCTTCTGCCAACAGGACACAGGCCTCCTGTCCCAGCAGCAACGGCAGCGGGTACATCTGGGGGGGGGGGGCAGCTGTCAGGCTTCCTCCTCACAACGTGGACTTGCTTACATTTCTGAATTGGAATCTTACTCCTCTTTGCTGTAAGAGGCACCAGAACAAGCGGAAAGCCCTTGTCTTGCTAGGTTCCACTAAAATTCTTCCCTAGAAGATGCCAGAAACAGAGCTCTGGCTCACATACTTTTGGCAAGTTAGAAGACTGACATTTTCCCACTTGATCCTTACTGCTCCAGTTGGAGACGAAGATTGGGCTGGAGTCCGGAGACCGGGTTTAAATCTTCAGTGTTAGGGCCTTGCTACGTGACAGTTGGTTCTAGTTCTGCGCTCCGTGTCTCCTGCCTTGCTTGTTAGAGACCTTCCTAAGGTTCTGCAGCACTTAGAAAGAGCTTGGTGAGGTCATTGTTAGTCCTGGTCACTCGTTCATCTGACCACTTGAGCCTTCTGTAACATTCGAGAGCCAAGAAGGACACTGGGTGCGCCATCCGTAGAGGAACTGTAAACTACATCGTGTTGTTTACATCCCCAGATGTTTTACACTTTGTTTTGCAAAGCTAGCCTTTTGTGCATTTTTAGGGTTGTGTGTTTAGGATTGTGATCGGTTTTTAATTGCTTTGTAGGGTGCACTAACTACTGTAGGTATATGATTTTGATGTTAGTGCGTTGGGATCTTTTATAAATACTTGAGGAAGTTGGGAGTCCTGAAGGCTTTCTACGGCGCTCACTGAAAGGACGATCCGGAGAGACTGAGCACCTATGATTTGTTAGGGCCTGTGATTGAGCTATCAAAAAGTAAAAGTACAGGCCTTGGCTTTTGACTTTATTGTCATGTAGTTGAATTCCCTTCCATTTAAGGAGCAGTTTTGAACTCCTGTCTGCAATGTTCCGAGTGCCTGAAGAAGCAGTGGATGCTCTGCTTTATAAATGGATATGTAAATCCTGCTGGGAACAAGAGTTGGTTGTAGACACTAGCAAAGGGGCTGTGTTTTAAGGAAGAGAACCTTGCCAGATTGGATCCGGCTGGGAAGCAGCCAGAACACCTGCAGCTTTCGCCGGGAGCGAGGAGGCTAGTTTGGCTGGAATTGGAGCGCATTTCAGCCAGTGGGTTGGGATGAATGGGAAAGTCAGTTTGATTGTGCGCAGCCATGAAAACCAGGCTGGGAATGTAGCTTTTGTCCGTAGGGAGAACTGCTGAGGTTCTTCAACAGGAGACTGATGTTATCTGCAGGAGATGGCTTAGAGCCCGGGTGGGGAACATCCAGCTGTTGCAGGCCTGCAGAATCATTTGGTCTGGTCCTGCCAAGGCAACCACGGGGGAACTCCATAGATCCATAGCAGACTGATTTGTAACCTGATAATTTTTGTGTAACCCTGAAAATGACATAAATATCCACATGGCCCTTGGCAGAAAAAGAGAAGCTTCCCCTACATAGTTTAGAGACTGCATTGGGCATCTGTGTGTAGAAGAGGTTGGAGAGAGCAGTGGGGGTAGGGAGAGCTCCTGTGGGGTTATTCACTTCACTTATCTGATTCTCTGTTCAAATGGGCTTTGAAAAAAATTCTCCACTCCTTTCATTTTGGTACTAACCAGTGTCTTCCTTCAGTGCAGTCTAAAGTTCTGTAAGCATTTCAGGTTGTGCCTGTAGTTTCTGGTGCTTTTGATTCATGTAACTCTACAGCATATTTGCCAGAAAAAAACACATTTTTGTCATAGGGTTACATCAGTAGTGGTTTTTTGAGAAGGTGTATTCTATTCTGTTGGGAAATATTTTTAAGTTTCTATTTTTGATAGTTGACAAGAGGGGGAGAGCTTCCATTTACTGGTTTACTTTCTTAAATGCCCTTAACACCTGGGGATGGGCAGGGTTACAGCCAGGAGCCACAAATTCCATTCTGGTCTTCTATGTGGGTGGCAGGGCCATCATTTGCTGCTGTCTTTCCTGGCACATTTTGCAGGAAGCAGGATCAGAAATGGAGCAGCTGGCATCCTAAGTGGTGACTTAACTCACTGTGCCATAAACCTGCTCTGGGAAATATTTGCAAAATAAATCTTACTGGGGGCCCAGTGTATAACCTAGTGGCTAAAATCCTTGCCTTGCACGCAATGGGATCCCATATGGGTGCCAGTACTAATCCTGCCGGCACCACTTCCCATCCAGCTCCCTGCTTATGGCCTGGGAAAGCAGTTGTGGACGGCCCAAAGCCTTGGGACCCTGCACCCACATGGGAGACTCGGAAGAAGCTCCTGGCTCCTGGCTTTGGATTGGTTTAGCTCCGGCCACTGAGGCTGCTTGGAGTGAATCAGTGGATGGAAGATCTTCTTGTCTCTCCTCCTCTCTAAATCTGACTTTCCAATAAAAATAAAGTGGATCTCTAAAGAAGTGTTATTGGAGTTACATAAGATACTTAGGAAAATTATCTGTATCCACACACAATTGTAAGCTGTTGTAATGCAGCATGAGTGTGCTCGGGATCCTGCTTTAACCAGAGACATGGAAAAGGATCTTGTTAGTGGACTCAATATTACAGCTGATGACTTTTAAGTGTTGGCATCTCTTAGGTTTTGGTATTTGCTTTGTTTCCCTGAGGAAATCATTTGAGTTTCTGTTTGTTATCTTTGCTGCAGCAGAGAAATTTGGAGAATTATCCTAAATTGGTATGACCTGAAACATGAAGTTCAGAAAACTTCAAAGAATTTGACTTCTTATGCTTGAGCCTCAGTTTTCTTTCCTGTAAAATGGGATACGAGTGTTCTGAAGATGGAAATGTGACGTGCTTGTTGGTCAGCCAACATTGTCCTAAGTCTGACAACCCAGAGTTAAGTGTCTACACCCTTGTGAACATAACTTCAAGAAAGGTGACTAGGTATCTTTCTGAGAGTGTAACTCGGCGGTTTCAGGCCCTTCCTTGGCAGAAGGGAGCAAAGGGTCGCAATTACATTGAACACTATGCCAAGTTTGTTACAGTAAATGCATTTTCTGGACTGATAATTGGCTGAAGAATGAGCATGTGTCCCACTTCAGGCTGGTGAGACTGAATAATCTCTTGCGTTTTCAGGAAAAGGTTTCCTTTTGTGACTGAAGGAGACTTTAAAAAGATGGTTCTGGGAGATGTGTTTGGGCTAGTGGTTAAGCTGCTAGTTGAGATGCCATGTCCCGTATCAGCTGGGTTTGGTACCTGGCTTCGCTTGGGACCCCAGCGTCCTGCCGGTGCAAACCTGGTGAGCAGTGGCAATGGCTCAAGGCCCAGACATCCGTATAGGAAACCCAGGTGGGGTTCTTGGCTCAATGCTTCCACTGACTGGTCAGTCCCTGTAAAGTTGAGTGGAGGGGAGGGGAAGTGAACCAGCAGATGGGAACTCTGACTCTGAATTGGCTGTGATGCCTGTATTTGCTGTTTGCTGTGTGAGCCCTTGAGCGGTGCCAGCTGAAGGAAGG